AAATCTGTGCATAAAGACTTTTGACATTAGTTGTACCGACTCGCTGTCAAAAATAAAGGTTATAGTTATAAATATTAGTTTCGACCGTTAAAAAATTCAACCCCAAACGATACTCGCGGTGAAGTACAACAAAATAACCATACATCGTTGTGGTTAATCTCAGTACATTGCGTGCAGAACTGCACCACGTGCCATTCTCTGGTTGTAAGTAAAGGTGCATAATAACCAGTTTGATTGTGTCACAGAACTGGATCTGATAGTTCCAGTTTCTATAACATTGGCTCCATTGCCCGAGTAACTGGATAGTCTTGTGTTGGAACTTGGTACTTTGATACTAGTTAAACTTCAGGTGAATGAGATTCTATAAGAAAGTACTTAAACAATAAATTAAACTTTCTTTAGTGGTCTATAGAATGAAGATTTTTTTTTTTAAGGGGGGAAAATCATCGAATGACTGCTCCCGCCTGGGTGAGGCGGAAGGGAGTGTCAGACTCTTACTGACTAAAAACCACCCCGTTCCTTCTCCTGCACGTCGAGCCGGAGCCCCGGTTACCCGTTAGGTTCTCCGCGACATAGAATGAAGATTAAGCATATGTGTTCTGAGGCCTTAGTACGAGTTTGATTTACGTTTAAAGTATTCGAAACGAGTACGCGTTCTGCGCTCTGATTGGCCGAATCAAATGAGCTAACCAATCAGAGGGCCAAGCACGAATAACTATCGCATTCGTATCGTAACAGTATCGAGCGAGTTAAGCGTTCTGATTGGTTGGTTCACTAGAGCCGGCCAATCAGAGCACCGAACGCGCTCGATACTATTACGTTACGAATGCGATAGTTATTCGTGCTTGGCACTCAGAGCGCCGAACGCGTACTCGTTTCGAATACTTTAAACGTAAATGAAATTCGTACTAAGGCGTCTGAGTGTGAAGTTCGGCGTCCCATCCACAGATTGACTTCGTCAAATTAAGGCACGCACAAAAGTCTCTAGTAACACTAACTCAAAATAAGAATAAATGTATGATAAAATATGTGTGATTTGCCTTGTATGAACCTATACTATAAAATGACAAAAAGTTTCGTGAAAAATTTAATGAAAACCGCGAGTGAAATATTTTAAAAGAATATAGTTTTTTATTTTCTATATTAGCGGGTTAACTCATAATTTAATTTTTTATACATACATTATATACATATATACATCGTTGCATGTCTAAAAACCATTTCATTGCATCAAGGTTATAGTTGCAATTTATTTTCTTATCTATGTAAGTACGTTTATTTTCTAACATTATGTAATTGTCATGGCTAAGATCAACAACATTGTTGAGTACCTAATTGTTCCTAAAGGTTGAGGTATAAGTGGATGGGTACACGCTATATCTTAAGGAACAAGTGGACAAATTAAACTGTTAGTACCTACTGAAGATTTTAGTAGATTTTCACAATCACACTAATATTAGGTATCAATGTGACAGTTTCTTTGTTTTGGTATATGAATATTTGTTCGTTAAAGATGCTGGAACTATTGAACGGATTTTGATGAAATATGGTATACTTAGGGGTATGGGCTGACTTAGGTGATAGGATATCAGCTTTTTATCCCGATTAAATGCTCCCATAGGATATTACAGGAATAGTATTCTACACGGGCGAAAGCAACAGCTATTAAATACATTGTGACAATTTAATTCCCCACCGCCAGATAACGGAGGAATAATTTTCGATATATGACAATTCTTCTATACGAAAAATTGTCAAATGACAATTTTATTCTAAAGTTAAGAATTAGCCAAATATAAAAATTGCCCCAAAATAAAAACAGTATAGAATACTGGAACATAGAATACCGAAAGAAATAGTAACGCGGTGATAGTATTCAATGAAATAGCATTTTACTAAAAATACAATACAATAATATATGTACTTTATTAATGTGTATTTAATTTTAACAGCATCACTATTTTATTAATCCACTACAAAATACAATATGCAAATAACATCAAAATTGTGTAATACCGTGAATAAATTACAGAGATGCCACTCATTTATAAATGTAAACTGTCAACTAAAGCGGCTTATGATGACAAAATATTAAAAAAAAACATGAACAACGAAATTAGACAATGTTTGCACGAATCAGGTCAAGTTCATGCGTTAAAATGTCTGCCGTATCAAGACATGCTCATAAAGATTACGCATCAAGCTGTACATAACCAATTTATTATGAGCTCACTACGTATGATCTATTCGCACATTCAGCGGTTAGTTTATACTGGTTTTGTACTGCTTGATGTGTCCGTATGACATGCCCATAAAGGTTTGTACTTCGTGTGATGAAACCCACATATATGTAGGATTTACCTGTTATATACGTGTTTCCGTACATTGCACGTTTGTAATCAATGGCCCACTAGAACTTAAGGGGATGTTGTCTTTGCAATTTCATTTTTATTTGTGCGACTTAAGTCATTTTTTTATTTATTTTATATCATTCAGAATATTTTTATAAGTGCACACTAATGATTTGTAAGTTTTTTTTTAAACGTATAATTATAATTTTTGTAGTTGAGGTTGATTGCCTGATTCCCGCTGGGGCAAAGTATCACTAGGTTTTTAAAAAAGAACTGTAATGTGAAGTGTGTAGTGGAACTGTGCCCGGTATATGGCAATAGGCTCACACCCTATGGGACTCGTAAGATGAAATAGTGAAAAGTGGGTGTTACGCTGTGGCATTAAGTGCCCTAATGAGCACCTCTGCCTACCACTTCGGGAATAAAAGGCGTGCTGTTAAAAAATAAACTTTTGTAGGTAATTCATTTAATTACCCACAAATTTATTTTTTTACCTGCAAAAAAAAATAACTTGTTAAAATCATATTAAATACCTATTACAATAAAAGGCATTTCTTATAAACAAAATCATACACCTGTTATGATTATTATACCAGACAGTAATTTTAATGATTACTTGTTCCTATATTGCGTATAATACGACAGTACGTGTCTCCAAGGTTTTACTGCGAAATACCGTTTATTTTGAAGCTTTTAACACAATTTCACTGCGGTGGATTATTTTGTTGAAAACAAAGTAAATATAATACTTACGAAATGATATTTCATTGAAATTCTTCTTGTGTGAATATCTATATATATAAAAGGAAGTCGTGTTAGTTACACCACTTATAACTCAAGAACGGCAGAATAGATTTGGCTGAATAGACATAGGACAATTTTTAACCAATACTTTTTTTTACTTTTTACCGAAAATCACGAACGGGGTCGGGAAAAAATTGGATTACGCGTACGAAGTCGCAGGCAGAAGCTAGTATTATTTTAATCATCATATTGTATTTATTTAATGAGTATCCATTAAAATAAACAGACGTCATTAAACGGATATAACGTAGCGTTGCAGAAAGACTCTAAATAAATATTTTTACTTGTGTAAGAAAATTATTTAAATCTTTTTGTTGGTATTTTCAGCATGGCAAACTCTTTATATCCATGATGTTCATATATTTTTTATATTAATGAGTGGGGTTCGACAACCAATAACCAACCAATGAATGTTAGTTGGTAGTCGCTATCATATAAATAAAATAATATTATATATAAGCTTTATACAATAATATAAATATAAAGCCGATCGACTTCGATCGGGGGTTGTCGGGTCTCCGGCTCGAAGAGCAGGAGTAGAACAGGGTGAATTTTTAGTCAGTAAGAGTCTGACACTCCCACTCGCCTAACCGAAGGCGGGAAAAGTCATTGAATGATTTTCCCCGCTTAAAAAAAAGTGTACCTGGACTAGCCCACTACGCAGGAGACAATTATTATAGTGCATAAGTATGTCCGGAAACATAGGTGCATTCTCAGTTCTCTTACTCTTTGAACCCAATGAGACGGCGGACAGACATGACTGAAAAGGTGAGGTTCAGGACCAACACCTTTAATAGTTTTCCTAAGCACAGGCGTGGAAACACTTCCTAATTTCCTGAATCCGGGCTAATAATGGTATTTTTACTAGTCCGATATGGGAATCGACCCTACAATATTTTGCACACCAACTGTGAAAATTAGTACTAGGTACATAAAAACACATATTTATACAATGGTCTCCTTTACCTACATAAAACTTTGGCCATAATCTCCACAGATAGATAATTAAATAAATAAAATAGTGTACGTCATCCCCTTAACAAATCGCGTGTGTCTATCACGAAACGACTGCATAGTGGTGTTGCCTAAGTATTCTGAATCAGTACCTTCGTTTATGAGTGGAAGCACTATTACTAAACATCGTAATATTTTATGATGCAAACTTTTTAATATCATTATTTGCAATTGTTTTTATTTATGTCTTTAGTAGCTTCTGCCAGCGACTTTGCCCGCATTCTTAATGGTAAAAAGCCTATATTATACTTCAAACCATAATCTACCTCTATACCAAAATTCATCCCAGTCTCTTCAGCCGTTTTGATATGACTGGATAACAAATATACACATATACACACAAATTCATATATTTTCACGTTTATAATTTCGGTTCAAGCTAATTTCAACCTTTAGCCCTATAGTTACAGCGTAAAGTCCACTGCTGGCACACCAACATTCAACAACTTATAATTTGAGTTGGTATAGTAATTGTGTCTAGGGATTGAGCCGCACAATTAAGTTTGTTATTAGAATATTGCCAGTAAGGAAGGTGATTAGAAATACATAAGAAAACATAAAAAGAAAACTCTTATCTACATATGTAGGTATCTATCAATCAACCACATAGGGCATAATATTCGTACTTTAATGTTAACAGCGAAATTTTACATAATTAAATAGGACATAACTGTACCTCTACGGCCAACTTAAGCTTTTTTATTTACATAAATTCTACAGCAATAGCAATCACATTGTCGATAATGTTATTTAATTTATACACCTCCAAAAAACCTTGATTATAACCAAAAAACCAAATATTTTTAACAATTTTCTTCTCTCCATCCACAGCGGACTACATACATCCATGCAACAACACAGAGCCAGCATGCCTAATAAAAGCTACTCAGGATGCAATACCACAGTTCACCAAGGGTCTACCAGACTTAGGAGTGCCGCCACTGGATCCCTTCGTCATCGATGAGCTGCCCATACAACTGCCCGGCATCAAGGTCACGTTTTACAACGGAAAAGCTACTGGATTGAGAAAATGCCAAGTTTTGAATGTTGAGTAAGTTGTAATAGATTAGATGACTAATATTTATTTTAAAATATTAAAACGGACATTAACTCGTCGAGTACCGGTTTTATAGACACAATTAAAGAACAATAGGTCGCGGTCACCGGTGACCGCTTGGTGTTTGACAGTTTAATGTCCGTCTGGTAGATTATTTATAAACATTAGACACGTATTTTTTATTTTCTTACGGTAACGAATAGTTTCAAAGGTATTTGAAATATTGCATGACGTCACTGTTGAGTACGATTTATACTCTAAAATTACGTAGCTACCTCCTACTCCTAAACTTTGATTCGTTTTATCTAATTATTGTTTTAATACGACAAAATAAAAAATATCGTGTCTAATATTTTTTCATTACCTAACTGACGGACTAATTAGACTTTTACTTTTCATACCTATTGTTTTTAATTAACTAAAAAATACATAACTACAAATAGGCTACAAAATTACACTTTTGCATGTCAAAAGTAAATTTTAATTGAGGATAATATTTTTCATTTGCAAAATAATTTCTATTCGCATACATATTTTCTTTTTGGTATTTTTTTTAACATGAAAACATTAAACATGACAAAAATATACAAAGTAAAATTTTAAGTCGTCCACCCCACTAATTTCAATTTGCATATCAAAAATTTAACCAGCAGATTGGCCAGGTACTTAAAATACAAAATAACAAAATACAATGGAAATATACAAAACCTTTTCTATGCAAGGATTTAGAGAAAATTGTTCAAAACTCTTGGCCTGTGCCCTGAATCACATTTGAACAAAGAAACGATTATATCCGCTTCAAATGGCTCCAAAGCTTCGGAGATTATCTTTGAAATTCTTGCAAAGATGCTTTTGTCTACGTAAAGACATTTGAAGGCCATGGTATGCCACAGCCATTAGCTTGTGTGCTATTATATGAAAGTTGATCTCAGGATCATCAATCTGAACAAAAATACAATATTCCACTCTTAAAAGTAATTGCCTCTTGATTTGTTTCAGAAACAATTTGAAATGTCCCATCTTTACAGTGTTTAGGATCTAAATAGGTTATTTAATTTTTTTCTTGCTGAAGAGTTTATCTTGTGTAGTGGTACTAAAGGCTCTCTCTCACGAGACTGAGAATTTTTCAAACCCAGTAATAATTTGCCCAGCCCGAGAATTGAACCCGAGACCCCTTGCCCGGTAATCGCACTGGCGACCACTCGGCCAACGACCCAGTCTCAGACTCAAATCCAGATCTACCCGAAAAATAAACTTACGATAAGTTTATTTTTCGGGTAGATCTGGATATCGTAGGTACACATGAATAAGTAAAGTAAGATGATTTGACTTAAATTATAAGGCAAATTATAAAACAAAAGTCAATAATTCGGTAGCACGTAGAAGTTTTAACATTAAGTTGTATAATCTATAGTTTCTCTTCGGTTTTAATCGTGTCGCTGCAAACAGCAAACAGTAAGAGTCTTTAAGTCTTACTATTGTTCGAAGTTAGTATTAAACTGGACTTGGGGCGCAAAGTTCAGTGCAGTGGTATCGCGTTGTAGAGGACTGTTACAGAGATAGTAGGTATGTTACTATACTGTTGTAGAGAAAACAGATACATAAATACAATATGTGTGCACGTATCTTACATGTTTGTATCTTACATCGTATCGTGGATGTATAATGCACACGTTAAAAAAAGATTGAAGGAAACTTTCATGATTGCAATGAATAACCTTATTTTTTTAATTTTTTTGTTACATTAACACCAACCATGTAACCATTATTTACCTTTAAGGTTAACCTTAAAGCTATGACAAAAACCTTTATCAATGTCACACGCCACCATGAACCGACCATGATAAGAAGTCAGCCACTTTACAAACTACAGTCAATTTAAACTAATTTAGTTTTATCGCGGTCGCAATCATAATACTACTTAAAAGTAGCGCTTACCTAACTCTGCGATTACTGTAAAAACGTTGCTACACCGCAATATGCGGTTTATTCTCACGCCAGCTGCGTATTGTCGAAACCTTTTGTCTTCGGTACTAAATGTATGATAGACAAAAGGGGTTTCAAGGATGACAATTTTATGTAAAACTGTTTTTATTGTTTTGTTAATATAGTTTTTTAAACGTTGCCTCTTTCTTGGGTTTTCTATGGATATCGTGGGTGGAATAAAAAAATGACAAATTCACAGGTACACGTGACACCCAACAGTGCAGTGCAGTCGATGTGTTCATTAAAAACTTTGTACTTTATTTATAAAAAGGAAGTATACGGTAGTGTGTAGTATGATTGCCGAATATTATATCTTAACATGTCCCAATACTGTGTGAGCAAAACATTTTCGACGGTTTTAAAAAAAATCAGTCAAAGCATTTATTGTATAATTTCCTTAACGTCTATCAAGATAGGATTACACATAAATTCCATCATGTTTTAATACCACATAATCAGAATACAGGAAAATACTTTAACAAGCTTTGTAACAAAAAACAGCGTTGATCAAAGAAATTTCTAAGAAACTAGAAATGTTTAGAAAATCGACCCTTCAAACATTGCTCAAATCTTCCAAGGAAAGGGCTTGGCATCTTAAGATTTAGAAGATACTGACACTTCCCAACCTTTCCAAGGATAGACGTAAGAAAATTTATAAGTAGGTACAACAGAGATTTCTGGAACGTTGTATGAAGCTGTTGTCGTCGAGTAGAAAGGGTATGACATATCTAAATTGTTTTTCCTATTGTTATATGGCTGAAGGTTTTGAGATGCGAGATAAAAAGGCTTACGCAAACATTGTATTTGTAAATGATGACTGTTGTTTAAAACTTTTGCTTCGTCAAATTTAATCGTGTGTGTGAAAAGGTTTGTTACAAAATGTTGGCAAAACGTGATAAAGTTTTGGAAAAACAAATAAAACTGTTGGTGAACAAATTACTAATTATTAACAATTTAGCGTTAAAGAAAAATTGAGCTAGAGGTTATAACGACATTATTTTTTTCTCTAGTTTTATTTTCAATTGACTGCCTCGTTGGCCGAGTGGTCACAAGTGGAACTGCAGGGCAAGGGGTTCGCTTCCCGGGTCGGGCATAGTATTACTGGGTTTTGACAAAGTTCTCAGTGGCAGCACGTAGTCTGGAATTGTGCCCGGTATATGGCAATAGGCTCACCCCCTATTACATGGGACTTATAACATAAAATAATGAAAAGTAGGTGTTACATGGTACAGTGGCATTAAGTGCCGTAATATGCACCTCTTCCTTCGGGGATAAAAGGCGTGATGTTATGTTATGTTAACCAACATAACATAACATCACGCCATAACATAAATCCATCAACGGCCATCTGGACCTCATTATTTGCTAAGAATGATGTTTTTGTATCAATTTGTATCTTATGTAATAAATCTTCCATACTACAATTTGTTATGTTGTATTTTTCAGGGCCTACTTAGAGAAGAATATATTCAATTTGGATGTACGATGCAATATAACTATCAAGGGCAAATACACAGCAGTAGGGAGGCTACTGCTGTTCCCGATCAACGGTGAAGGTGACTCTAAAATCAAAATAGGTGAGTAGTCATTAGACATTCGTCTAATATAACGTATGATAGTTTGAACAATGATTCAAGTTTATATAAGACGCAGAACTTAACTCGTCGAGTACCGGTTTTATAGACACAATTAAAGAACAATAGGTCGCGGTCACCGGTGACCGCTTGGTGTTTGACAGTTTAAAAAAATCAAAGGATTTTCTTAAAATTCTCGTTAAATATACAATTACAATTTGTGCAAATAACTGAAGGTTAAGAAGGATAAGGATAAGTCTTTTGAGGTCGCTCTAAAAGCGTAGTTTTTAACTAACTTAAGTATTATCTATGGTTTCACTCTTATTTATTACTTAATGACTGTCGTTTTATTATTTCCAAGAATTTCAAGCTTACTATAGAAGCAAAAAACGAAATCAGAAATAAAAAATTGTACTTCCAGAATTACATCAACGACACGTGTAAAGGACTAATAGTCGAACATATTTTTTGTAGCCACACATTTCTTGAATCACAATTCAAACCACACACGCAACACAGAAATAAATAGCAAATATCAATGTAACGCCTTCATGTTTTATAAGCGGATACAATGCTAACTCGCACTGAAATAGAAATCGTGTGTTCGGAATATTTAATACCGAAAGTTGTTGCGTTAGTGCATTTAGTTCATGATTTCATGGAAAAAGCAATTGTAATTCATATGCGTTGTTTGATTTCTGCTCAGATTAATATTCAATCAGAATAGAATGCCTGTTGTTCGGAAGATTCGATTAGAGATAAGATTAAATCGACATTATGAGTAAAGTTATTAGTTTTATTATTCAAATGTTGAATGGTTTGTTAAAGATATTCAAGTTCTTGCAAAACAATCGTTATCACTATATTAAAACACTTTAATCCCCCTCAGATAATTATGTCAGCCGACAGATATTGAATTCAGCAAAAATAATTTACTGATTTCAAAATGTCATGATCGTCTACTACTTAAACTGCTAATGAAATAAAATCATCAAACATAATACAATTACTTAAATGCACTACATAAGGCCTATCATCGTTCAAGGATGGATGTGTAGCAACCGTTATGCCCTTAAGTCTTGTTCTCACGGGAAATTGAGAAATCCCTTTCTTGATGCTCACTTACGCAGCCCAAGGAATTCTTGTGCAAAATTTCATGCTTTTAGACACGTCGGTTAAGGTTGCCTGTTGGTTAATTTGAATGATTTATAGGTTGGCAAGCAACTAATTACATATCATGTAGTGTGTAAAAGTAGATGGAATATAAATGAATAAATAAAGCTACTAATCCATCCACATAATAATATGATTTTAATGTACAATCGTTTGTCGGGTGTATACGATTCCAATGTACAATAAGACAAACGGGTTACCAGGACTCCGGCTCGAAGTGCAGGAGAAGGAACGGGGTGGTTTTTAGTCAGTAAGAGCCTGACACTCCCTTCCGCCTCACCCAGGCGGGAGAAGGCATTCGATGATTTTCCCCTTAAAAAAATGTACAATCGTTTAGGTGTGGAACAAAGCACCAATTCGCCTTGTGCAGGCGTAGTGATAAATAGTTATAGTCATACCTTCTCTGTATGAGAAAAGGCCTTTTTCCAGCAGACAGAAGCAGTCAGTAACAGGCTGATTGCTGATACAGGTTTTTTTTAATTTTATTCTATATCTGATAAAACTAACGTCATAACTTCTGGTCTGTTGTCCTGGATGCCATGTGTATGTGAAGTTGTATGTTTGTAAACGAACCCACGACACAGGAAAATATCCTAGTATGGGGCAACGTTTTTAAAAAAATAATAATAAATTTAAAAACTTCTTTCATTGTTATCAATTTGTTAATAATTTTTTCATAAACTTTTTCCAGTGAACTCAATCATCAAACTGAACATCAACACGAGGTACTTCAAGGACGCTGACGGTCGTGATCACTTCGGGATCAAGAACTATAAGTACACGTTCGATTACGGCGAGAGAATCATTTATACGATCAACAACCTCTTCAAAGGCAACCCTGAATTAAGTAAGTACTTGACTTCAGTTTTATAGGCACCCTATAAAACCTGAGTCACTTTATAAATTCTTAAATTTTTGGTCTCTTAAAAAGTCACACGGTATTTTTTCTCTCTTGAATGGCAACCGAGTCTCCATAACAGTGTTATCGATTATACTGCCAGTGTCGAGTTATGTTAGGAAAGTATTTCATTTGACATTGGTGTTTACAAAAAATTAATGTCTACAAAAATCTAAAAAAAGACTACTTAGTGTATGAGCATTGCATAATTATGTAGGGAATGACAGCCTAATGACAAAAATCTTATAATACATATTTGGGATGATGACAGGGTATGAAAATTAAAAATCTAATCAGTCCGTAAGTTAGGTAATGAAATAATATTAGACACATATTTGTTTATTTTTTCGTTAAAATAATACTTAGATAAAACGAATCCAAGTTTAGGAGTGGAGGCTAAAACGTAATTTCTACGTATAAAATGTAAGTAGAAGTGACGTCACGCGACATTTCAAATCAATATATCGTCCAAAGCGTTCGTTTCTGTATTCTGTATTCACTTTGAAAACGAAATAAAATACGAAACGTCTCAAAGCAAACGTCATAATTAAGTCATTAGCTATTTTTCTTAGAACAGCTTATTAAACGCAAATGGGAGTTTGAGTTTAACAGGACTAATGTTTAACAGCACTCGTTAATGGAGTGGACTTTAAATTATAAAAATGGCGTCACACTCCAAGAACTCACCGCCATTGTAATTTTTTCCTGCTATATAAATTTAACTGTCGTTAATTTTACACTAGAGTAACTTCCATTTTCATTTTTACTTCTGTACAAAAGAATGCATATTGTATTAATGCCTGATGATTTCATAAGAGCAAAATTCTTTAATAACAGTTAAAGAATTTTTAAAAGTTGCCAATGTAATTTCGACTTATTATTTGCACATTGGATAAAAAGCATTTAATTAAGTATTGCGTATTTCAATGTGCGCACTTTTTAAATAATTAAATGCATGATTGGCTCCGTGGTGTGAGTATATAGAGATCCAGTGTTACCAATGTCCAGTAGTAAACAAAAAAGCGAATGATAATCTTTTCTTTTTTTATTTTTACTAATATGATGGACTATTATAATTCTCAGCGTATGTCTGTCCTAAATGATAATATTATCTTACAAAGCTGAAGGGTTTGTTTGATAGCACTCATCTCTGCAACTACAAATGGTCCGATTTGAATAATATTATTTGTGTAGGATAGCGAATAGCGTAGTTGTCAGGGAATGAAAATTAAAAATCTAATTAGTTCGTCAGTTGGACAATGAAAAAATATTAGACACGTATTTTTTTTCTCGTATAAAGTTATTAGACAAAATGGAGTTAAGTTTAGGAGTGGGAGGTTGTTACGTCACAAAATGCTACAAAATGTAGCGCATTGTGACATCATACGATATTTCAGATTAATATATCGTCGAAAGTATTTAATTCTATGAGAAAAGAAAAAAATCGTTTTAAATAAATCTACCAGACGGACATTAAAATAAAATTCAGCAACTACCTTATTAATCGAGGGAGGATAGAAAACACAACACTACAACCAATAGAGTTAACTAGAGAAGATGAAACCGCGCGAGAGAGGAGTGATGTAAATTTCATGCCAAATATTCTCAATTCTCATAACAATTTTGTCACATTTTCAGGTAACACAGTATTACAGTTCCTGAATGAAAATTGGCGAATAGTCACAGAAGAATTCGGGCAACCAGTCGTCGACTATGCTTTGAATGTTACCGTCACTACAGCCAAAAAATTCTTTGACGCCGTACCGTATGACGAATTGCTATATGTGCCTATACCTAAGTATTAAAACGAGGTTAAATTATTAGACTTATTACTCAACAAAATCTTTAAAGATATTGTATGTTTTTCTTAGTGAAATTTGAGAAAATGAAAACTTGCTTTCGATTATGCGAAAAGTATTACTTATAAGTAAAGAGCCTGAATTGCTTAGGTATTTGTTATTTATATGAAACGGTAATTAGAAAAAATAATATAAGGTGTGTCCGTATTCTAAGGGGTCAATGTACTCAGATAAACGAACCATTTTTCTTCAATCATAATGTAATTGCTATATACATACCTAGCACTCGCTATCTAAGTGACAAAAAATTTAGCTTTGAAATAACTTATTATTAACAGCAATTTATTTAACATTTTTACGAAATAAAAAGTGCATAATACTATCAAAAACTAATAACAAACAAGTTTACTAGAATTTTTCATATGTTTATAATAGTTCTCGTCTATTGTTTTTTGTTTCTTGTAAATAGAAAAAACCTTATTCTTGTAAATAGTATTGTACATTTTATTGTGATATACAGAAATGTACAGATTTACTCAAGAATTAAATTATTTTTATTATTTTACCTTAATGGGAAAATTTTCTTTTTTTGTTGTTTTATGTCAAATCCTTATATATTTCCCTTAGCCTTCTTCTTATGTAAACATTTTCTTAGAACTAGAATGTAAGTTACTATTAAGAACAAACTGTAAAGAAATGAGGCATAAAAAGAGCTTTAAAATTACAAATACTGTTAATTAATATTAATATGTATGCGTAGGTTATATTTTAAAGTATTATCTTATCATATCATAAATAACCACCATATAAATATTGTACACTAAACGACGTAAAAACTATGTATCAAAAAGAGATCGTTTATAAATCTGAACTGTAATATAAAGTGTTAAGATTCAATATTACGTAAGTTTATAATTATTACGCTGTAATAAGATGTTTTGTAATAAAAAGATTTTTATGTATTATCTGTGTCTATTTCATTGACAGTGCTGTGGTAATTATAATGTTACCTACAAAAAATAGGAGCGTCAATTACTGTGTGTGTTTATAGCTATTCGTTTTAGTGCAGGCGTTCGTGGATTGATGTATAGATTCTCTTCATTCTTTTACTTATTTGGTACCAATAATGACATAATATAATGCCTAAAACTAGATCTAATATTTTTATTTTTTTTACGGCATAGGTCAGCAAATAAGTGCACAGATCACCTTATAGGAAGCAATCGACTGCACGGTTGGTGAGTTGGCGGTGACTGGGCAACCGGCTGCCGTGCAATGTGTAGCGGCTTGGACTTCCGCATAGAGCAATACTTTGTATCCACTTTATGTTGTATGTTTGTATGAAATTGTATGTTTGTAAATGCATCTGTGCTGTACCTACAGGAGAACATCCTAGAGGGGGGCATTAAAAATAATCGTCTAACCTGACGGGATACATGCCACCAGAGGAGTTTCAAGTGCGTGGCTAGCCTATTAAGACTGAGGATTTGCAGATTGAACATGATGGGTGAAGATCAGGCCTAAACACTCACTTAATTGCGTTATGAACGACTGTTTTTGGTTAAACTATTGGTATAATAGAATAATTGACGAGAAACACGATACTTGTTTCTCCCGATAACTTTTATAAATCTTAATAAAAGTACCAAAATTCAAATATAAACGTTATCCACTTGATACAAAGTTTATATTCTATTACAAAATAACGTTGGAAACAGAACATATGTGTTAGTATACAGTGTAGTTCCGAAAACAGTTTCCATTTAGTTCAAACACTGATTGTGTGGTACACAGGTCCTGAATGTATAACTAAGTGTGTCTCAATTAATTCCAATTCCTGGTATGCGCAAGAACATGAATTTAAATTGGTAATAAATTTCATTTGTTTTTGGTGTTTGGTGAGAATGAATTAGTTTTGGTGGTGGTACGCTGTTACATAAAGTTTATGATCGATTTGTTAATTGCTTTATATTTGGATCAATTAGATAGGCATTATATTTGAGTAATTTTTTATGGGATAAGCCGGTAAACGATCTGACTGATTACCTGATGCCAAGCAATTGCGCCGCCAATGGATTCCCGAAACACCAGAAATAGGTGTTAAAAGTGCGTTACAGGCCTTTAAGGTATTACAAATTTGCGAATTGTTGGGATTACGAGGATTGGGGAGACTAGGAAGGGGGGCAAATGGGCCTCCGATAACCTTACCCACACGACGAAAGACAACGAAAGTGCTGCTTCACGTCCGATCTCTGTGGTATCACGCCCATTCGTGTCAAAACATAAAAAGCGTGGAATATGGTGCTTTTGATTATTTGTCTTTTATTATTAGCAAACAAGTCTGTCAAACCAAGGCCAACCTACAAAAAATCAATCCTAGATTAATATCATAGGGAAATTCGCACTCCTATAGAGTTATGAATATTTTGTTCAGTTGGCACACAATAACGAGCATTAGATCAAACTTTTGTAAAAACAAAGAATATTTGGAATAATGTAAGTAAAAGAATAAGAATATGAGTATGGCTAAGGAATCTTAAGTGAACAAGTTAGTGATATTTTTGTAAACGTTACTCCAAAGACCAAGTTACCTTTATTAAAAATATTCCTGAAATATTCGAAAGTATTTTGGTAAATTATACTTCGTATTACTCGTAAGTACTAGAGATTTTGTTTCAAGATTTCTATGAAATACGAAACAGGACAATAAGCGGAGTATTTATGAAAATTAACTTAAAATCTTAAACTGACAAGGGCTTAGTGTATCTTAATTTGCGGAAAATTTTCTTCTTACTGGAACACAGGTATTTTTAGAAGTATATTTAGTCTTAGTGATCACTCATCATGGAAAAACTGGAATATATTGTAAAACCAGTGACGAAGTCTGTATTTTATTGGAAGGTTAATGAAAATGATATCAAACACTTTCATTTAGCTTGCCACGTTTATTTGTTTATTAGTTTCGGTCAAAAATATTTTCCCTGCAGTCGCACTTGCGACTGCCTCGTTGGCCGAGTGGTCGCAAGTGTGATTGCCACGCAAGGGCTCTCGGGTTCTATTCCCGGGTCGGGCAAAGTACTTCTGGGTTTCTTAAAAAAATCTCAGTAGTAGCACGGAGTCTAGAATTGTGCCCAGTATATGGCAATAGACTCACCCCTTATTACACGGGACTCATAAAAAAAATGAAAAGTCGGTGTTACATTATACAGTGGCATTAAGTTCCGTAATTGTCCGTCCTTTGCCTTGCTAAGGCGTGATGTTATGCTATGTTCAAAAATATTTGGACTTTTATCAACTTTCTGACGATAGATCGATCTGATATTTGGTACATACATTTAATTTTGACGACTATACAATATAATATTTCTTTTTCAAGGCTGCCTCAATTATGGATATCGACCGAAAGCGATTGAGTGGTAGAATATAAATATAGTTCATTAAACCCGTTTGGCATAAAACAATCATTTTTTATGCATTAGGTACTTGTTTTTCATTAAATTGATCAAACCATTTGAATCAAGTTTTTGGTTTAAATAACCATCATAATATTTTTTCTGGATACCCAAAACCAGTCAGTCGTTCAGCATGCTTGTGTTTCAAACTTTTTTAACATTCAATCCTTAACGTTTTTTTATCGTTCTAATCACCCTCTTAATGCTTATGAAGATATTTACGCTGGTAACAAGACTGTAGTTAAAATTTATTTTGGGTATATGGTACTATCGATTAAATTTTTTTGGGATGTATGAATTATTAGCTTCTTCGTTTGCGTTATCGTGGGATAAGAGTAGCCTATCTGTTATTGCAGACCACAAGCTACCCCTGTTACAAATTTCATCCTGATCCCTCTAGCCGTTTTGCCGTGAAGGAGTAACAAACAAAAAAATATACAAACTTTCGTATTTATGATATTTTCTTTATGGCATAAGTCGGTAAACGAGCTGACGGATCACCTGATGGTAAGCAATCGCCGTCGCTCATGGATACCTGGAACACCAAGGCATTACAAGTGCGTTACCGGCCTTTTGGGAATAGGGAATTTGAGAATTGTAGAGGATTCGGGGATTCGGGGATTCGGGAGATTGGGGAGGGGGGTAATTGGGCCGCCGTTTACCTCACTCACACGACGAAACACAATGCAAGCGTTGTTTCTCGTAGGTTTCACTCCATCACTCATGGTATCACTCCAGTCGAGCCGGCCCATTCGTGCCGAAGCATGGCTCTCCCACATTTGCAATTATTTTATTTTATTAGTAGGATTTACCATTCGCAGGACCACAGGGTACCGGTCATTTGGGAGGCGTACGATGGGCCGAAGCCAACTGCGCAGAGGCCCTTTAGACAACTTTAATAATAAATGTAATGAATACACAAATCGGCGACTATTGCTGTATGCACTATGGAAATGCACCGAAGGACAATCCCCAGTTTGTGTAGAACTATTGTAGATAATAGAAAAAAAAGGTAGGGCTATGGGTTGTTGGTAATGGTTGCTAGATATAGCAACATAGGGCCAAAGCAAAATGTAAGTGGCTGAAGGGAAAGGAAGGGTTATCTTTTCTTAAGAAACTACCACTGCTTTCTACTCAGATCAGCCGCTCCAGCTGAAACCGCTCCTGCACTCGTGGCCCACTCGCCACTTACGAATAGTTTTTACCCTCCGAGCAAGATCACTGCTCTCACGACTCCACTCTGGACGGCTAATGAAGGCAAGCCAGAGGTGGCAGACCTGTCCCTTATCATCGTTCACTCCAGTCAGCCAATTAAGGCAAGCCAGAGAATAAGGAACGGTGACTTCTCACTGGAGCACTCAGGATGACGGTACCCCGCGGCGTCGCTAATGCTCGTCCCCTCACCTCAAGATGGATTATCATTTTAAGTCGAAATAAGGTATTAAAGGAATATTCTTTTTATAAATTATCACAATGCACTCGTGACTCCTCAAGTGTTAAGAGTGTCCTCAGTTGGATATGATTCCTTCAACAGATGATCCGTCAAATCCATTT